TATACATAATGAACTGCTAAAGAACTAGCAAGGTGTATGAATTTTGAGGAACTTGAGATAACTACATCAGAGTATATAGTTAGGCATTACTTAGACGAACCTCTTAACCAAGATTATACTTATAATTGGTATTATCTGCTCCTCCATTTGAAATTCTTTCCAATAGCTTTAAGAATTTCTGAAACTAGTTTAGACGAGAATACCAAGCAGATACTTTTACTTCAAGAACTATCATCGCCTTTAACTTATTTAAACAACTTAGTGGTACTTCTAAATCTGAACATTGTAACTCTCGCTTAATAAGAGTTATCTACCAGCTTCTTTCTAGCATTTAATATTGTGTTCAACTTTTTTCAGCAAACGTAATATATTTGTATATACAAGGCATATCATTTCGAACAAATTGTTTTCAACAACCTATTACCTTATCTATTTCTTCAAGGATATATACTGAAATCTTAGAATAAGATCTAGTAAGGCCTATAGCAGATCGATAATTACTACAACGTCTTGTTGCTTCTTTAACACCTTCTGCATCTAGTTTATCAAACTCATCTCCTAATTCACCCTCAGTCGAAACTGAAATCATAGCCATAAGAGCTGAAATGTGGACCATTTTTCAAGAAATTTTTGGAAATAATGGACAACACTTAACAAATATTAGCGAACAACTTCGACTAGCTCAAAAAGAAGAAAGATCCACTATTAAAGTTGACTATTTTTCAGAAGCTGAAAATGAAGATCCTGTAAAATAGCTCACTGCATTTGAAAGAGCTGCCATTACTAATAGATAGACTACTGAAATATGAAAGAAAGCCCTCGCTAGAGAACATCTTAAGAGCATAGCAGCTGACTGGTTTGATGGTATTATTACTGCCATGGGAGACAATTGGAATACTAAAACCAATGGTTACCAAAAATTTGTAGATTTATTTGAAGCTCATTTCATTAGTGAAACCAAGAAAAATCAATAGTATCAGGAATTAACTTCTCTGCGTCAACAAACAGATGAGTCTGTAAATTCTTATGCTAATAAATTCAAGAAATTAGTGACTCATGTAAGATTAACAGATGATGCACAAAAGAAAAGGATGTTCCTTATAGGATTAAATCCTGCTTACATTCCATTAGTCTACTCACAAAATCTGGCTGATTTAGATGCTACTGTAAACTCTACACGAACTATTGAAATTGGATATAATTTCACCTCTGGAAAAGCCCCTAAAGATATTAGTATTACTACAGTTTCTACTTCTAAAAACGTGGTTACTAATGCTGAAGTAGATGAACTCACTAAGAAATTAGAACAGCTATCTATCAATTATGCTAATTTGACAACTACTTTATTAGCTCAACCTTAACAACCACTAAGAAGACGAACAGAATGAACTTATAATGACAATACCAGAAGACCCAGACAAAATATGTCTTCTATGACCTGTTATAATTATAATAGAGAAGGATATATAGCTAGAAATTGCCTTCAACCTTGCCAGCAATCCAGAAGAACTGATAGAAGACCTCACTATGATGATACTAGAGATGTACATCTAACTGACTAATACTATGATGAAGAATATGATGAAGAGAACAGTACTTCAGAAGAATATTATAAGGAATATGAATATGAGGTCTATTTAAATACTAGGTCTGGACTTTACCCAAGGAATGCTGTATCGAAAAATAAAAGAGGACCAGTAAAGTTTCAAAACTCTCCTAAAACTAGGATAACTGTCAAAGAACTAGACATAAAAGAATCAATATCAGAACCAGTAATTGAACTAGTTAGAACTGAAAAAGCATTAAAAGCTCCTAAAAAAAGATTGTTATTAGCTCCTATTGAATAACTAACTGAATTTAATGTCTCAACTTATTTGCAAAATTTATTATGTAAAC